CATAAACTCTTTTCTTCAGGTATTTGGGTCTTAGTTTTGATGATGGCACCAGAAGGTGGACAGCTTCTCAAGTCATTCTTATACTCGTGTCTTCACTGCAGGGCATGTGGTTTGCTTCAGTTTAGTGGAAATTTGATCTCTAACATAAAACCTAGCAGGCAAATTCTGGTATCATGATATTGAATTAATTTTAATATGGCAGACTTTTCTCCAGCTCTGTTAAACTCAGTTCCATTGACAATAGTGTAAAATATTCTGCATTTGTGTTGGCATTGCTTGGGCACAGTTTATAAATTTTATGGCAAGACTTCTCCTTTCAGTAACAACTATCTTTGAAACCATTTGGGGCATTTTGGTTTGTGCCTTACCAAAGTCACTGAGTACTTACTTACAAGAGAACGAATGCATGAAGAGAAGACTTTGTGCTTTTCCTCTGCAAAGGGGAATTCCTTGAACATCTTTCTTTGAGCAGATTCTGACATGTTGTTCCATTTGCTTTCATACTGTAAACCTACACATCCTGTCCTCATTCCTATAGTAATGAAAGAGCTTTGCTCGGGAGTGCTGGCTTCTTTTCAGTGGTCTTTGTCTTCCCTCCTAGGAAACAGTTTGAATGTGTCAGAAGAGTCCCAGTTCCTCAGAACTGTGTCTGGCCAAGAACCTGACGAAGTTGGTCTGTAGTATTTCTGTCATTGAAAACCTGCTTCTTCTCCCCCTAAAAAAGTCATCTATGAACAGTAACAAAGGATTAATTGTGGAGACTTGGGACTTGGCAGAAGGGCGTATAAATGAAGTGCTTTCTTGGAAGCTACATTGCCTGTCTTGCAGATCAAAAAATAAATGCAAAATATTTCAATGTGTATCAGTGGATTAATTAATTTGATTGTCACTTCCCTTCCTCCTCTCTTTGTGGGGAGGGGTGCTCTGAAGATTGGAATTTTAATTGCTTGACCACAGTTTCTTATTAGTGGTGCACCAAAAGGGCATGGATTATTAATTAGTACTGAATATAAGGATCTCTGAGGTCGAACTGTAGCATCAAATGGATGAGTTTAGATAACTCTCAACTGAAACTACAGTCTATCAATAAATTGAGTTATAATAATGAAACCATTAGAATTTTTCCTCAGCCCCTCATGTTGGTTTCTGTATTTGCGGAGTACATTCTGGTGGTCTTAAAGAATGTAGCATTTTTATATAAATACATATATTTTTTTTGTATATATAAGACATGTATCTATTCTGAAGGCAAGTATATATACACATGCCTATAGAATAGTTATACATAATTCAGGGTTGTTATACATGTCATGCCTTATTTAATTTTATTAAATATTTTGGGGGTTCAATCCATTAGGTAGTTTCATAGCAAATATATAAAAACAGTGTTCTCTGTAGCTGCTTTCTTTTTCAATTGGTACCTCGATTTGTGCTACTGTATCCAAAGGGAAATCTAGCTCTTGAGTGTAATGATCTGAAAACAGAATTTCATCCACATTATTGCTTTAATGTCCAATAGTCTGTGTCATATTTTTTCTGGTTTTAAAACTTGATGATGGAAGTGAATTGTATAACTTCAGTTATATGTTAACTTCGCTGCATCCAAGATTCTCAGGTAGTGTAGTGCGGAATAAGAATATGCCTATAATACATACTGGTATCAACTTGTTTTTTGCTATGTGGATTAAGAACTGGTTAGTGGACAGACTGCAAAATGTAGACACATGTGGGGTTACCATAAATTGCTGTGTGTGTAGTAGGATTACTGTTGCATTGGTATAAAAGAGTGTTCTGCAGTATTTGCATCCAGAGTTTAGAGGTAAATAGGAAATAATTGCTGATAAAACTTATGAATCATCTGAACAGCATGTGCCTTATTTCAGCTAAACTCATAAACTGGACTTTGGCTATGGACATGCAATTATGGATGCTGATGGGGCAAATGGAAAATAGTAACTCTGAAATTTAAATAATACAAAAAATTATGTAAATGTATCAAGTTCTGCCACCTGTTCCACTCCCATATTCCATTTTTGCATTTATATGTATCCATTTGGGGGCTTTTAAAATATGAAACGCATTTGAATATGCAAGAGCCATAAAGTCTGGTTTGTAAAACCCAGCAGAATTCAGTGACGAATCTAGATAGCTGTGCTTGTATTTAGTGGGAAGTAGGAAGTAATTAGTAGAAAACTACTAAAGTCCCTTTTTTTTTTTTCTTTTTCTTTTTTTGACAGAAGACCTATATTCACTTTGGTTTTCATTTCTGTAGAATTTTGTAGGAAGATGGTGTTTAGCAGTTTACCAGTATACTAATGGGTCTTTATTCATGTAAGTATCTGGGACTGAGGAACCATCTCCTGTTGAGAGTTAGAAACTAGATGTCTGGGAGTTCAGAAATTGGCAGGAGTTTTCATAGGACATTTTTCCTCAAGGTAATTTCCTTGGCTTTTGCTGTGTTTGACACAGTCTGTGGAAAGAGGGTTGTGTTTCTGTTCTCCTCTCCTGCTTCCTCTTTCATGGGAGTTTCTGAAGCAGTGCAGCTGCCTGCCACAAATTCACTGGTGCATCGCATGGAAACTTGGATTCTTGGCACATGGACGGGACGGCTCTTTTCTTCTGTCCCCATCTCTGGGGAATTAAATTCACATTTTGTGTTCCTGCTTAGGTTTAGAGCCTAATTTTTCACTTCAGCTTCCTTCCTCCCCTGCCTCTCTCTTCTTTCCTTAATTTAAAGATGCTTAGGTCAAATGCATATAGCTGCAGCTGAAAGGATGAAAATAGCATGGATGAAATAGCTACACTGTTGAGACCTGGACCTTTATTTAGCGTCACATTTGCTGGTGTGTCACTGTAACAGAGTTCAAAAGCTGGCAGGATTACTTTTTTCAACAGATTAATTGATAATCTCTAATTCTAAAGAGAACAAAATTTTGTTTGCAGTCAGACATGATTTTTACAGCTTCAGCTGTTCCTCCCATCTAAGTTAATGACAAAGTCATATTCATTCAGTATAAACAGGAATAGATTCGCCACATCTGTGTGTGTTCAGTCTCTGTTTTGCGAAGGCTATGAGTACATCCAAACTGAGATGCCAACTGCTAAAACCAGTATCTGTATGATACTGGTTAAAACTGCTTACTTTCAGCACCTTTGAAAATTAGGTAATTTTTGGGGCACTGGTTCTGAGAGTTAGGTGACATGGATTTTTAGATAATGGAGTCCAGGTAGGTATCTACAAAAAGTTCAAGAAATCAATCTCAGCGCCTTTTGCCTTAAGTAATTTTCTGGAAGCCTGGTAGAATCCCATGCCAGCTCTTCCCTGAGCAGGGAATAAATTCATTTCAAAAATTACTCAGAATAGTATGAGGCAAAAAAATCAAAACAGCAGTGTTGTGTAGGACAGCATTTCTGATAAAGCGCAAATGAACCTCACAGAGAAATATCCTGTAAAATACTTAACCACAGGAGTCTTTATAGTTGAAGTTAACAGATTTTTTTTTTTTTTTTAAAAAAGGAGAGAAATAGCAATTGCAAGATGTGCACTAAGGTGTTTTAAAGAAAAGATGGCAACAGATGCTCACAGAGCCTGGACTCTAGTTTTGCACAGGTATCTCTCTTGGTAAAACTGTTATGAAGCGCAGTGAAAATACTGTTGCTGAAATTACTCACCTTACCTCTGGTTTTGACAGAAACACTGTTGTTCTCCACTGCTCTGAATACTTCCCTTGTTTTCACTTTGAACTGAAAAACTTCAGTCTGCTTTCCCTAATTTAACCTCGTTCACCACAATGTCCTTTTGTAATTTACCCATCTTTTCGTTATTCAGTCATTCACAGCTTCTTCAGCGGAGCTAACGCGATGATCTGCACGTTTCCTTGAAATCTTCTCTCACAGCATTTTAATAACTTCTCCAAATAAGTTCACAGTGCTCCTGCCTTTTCTGTTCGTGTTATCACTGTTTGAGTCATGGGTACAATCAAGTGGCAATAGCCAGTTAGGCAGCCACAGCTGTATACATAGGATATATATATTTAAACAGGGTGCTTAAATGTGAAGTCTTTTCTTTGTTGAGCTCCATCAGGTTTGTGAAGGCGAAGGAAACTGTGGCTGGCAGATTTGCCAAGCACATGAAAAGCAAAAGCAAAAGTGATCTTGAACTGCCAAAAGAACTCAAAACCAGGAAAAATGTTGCAATATTTGCCTTCATAAAGAGGGAAACATGAAGTATGAGTGTAAAAGAGGTATTGATTTTTGAATACATTAAGGTCATTCAGGAATCCTACATTTACTTTTCCTATCCATACTGGAAAAAAAAAATATTGGAAGAGACTGAGGAAAGATCTAATCTGACACCTCCACTCTCGCAAAAAAGTTCAAACTCAATTTTATTTCCTCGAGTGAAGGAAAAGAGGTGAACTGGTTTTAGTTTACTCCGTACATATATGTAGAAGTAGATCAGCTAAAAGTGATTCCCAGCAGGCAGAAGTAACTGTTGAGATCAGTGGTGGGACACTGACAAGCATGAACCAGAAGCAAGATGTGAGTTTGAAGCACTGGGATTATCACTGGAACATTGTAGGTAGGGGAATAATAGATTCACTGTCACTTGTTTGAATGTCTTTCTTAAAAAATTCCCTATACCTGAGCCAGCTCACGGCTCCTGTACGTAGGAATTGCTGCATGAGGGCTTATAGCCTGTCGAGTAGAGGTCAGATGGCTCTCCTGGTGTTAAAATATCTATGTGGTCTTATTTCACCTATTCTGTTCATTTCCCTTGTTTTACTCATTGCACCACACTGAGATAGGCAGCAGTCAGATCTCCATCTTACGGTTTTGCACAGTTTCCAATACCGTGATTCTGGACACGTAGAAATAATAAACAGCACTGAGGGCTGATGCCAGTTCAAAGAACTCACATGGGATGCAACTACTGAATATCCATTTATTTATTGCTTTCCTTTTTTTTTTTTTTTTTTTTTTTTCTTTCTTTTCCATAGTGAAATACATGAGAGAAGCAACCCCCTATGTGAAGAAAGGCTCCCCAGTTTCAGAAATTGGGTGGGAGACACCTCCGCCCGAATCTCCCCGCTTGGGTTGCGCCTCTGCTGACCCCCTGTCGCAGCTTTCCCTCTCTATTCACAGAGACAAGAAGACAATACCGCTCAAGATGTGCTATGTGACGCGCAACATGACGGTGTCAGACCCTGAAAACAGGTGAGCGGGGGGGATTTGCCCGGGGCTGGGTTTTGGCCTTGGTGTGGAATTGTGGTTGACCTTTTCAGGGTTGGGGTTGGTGAGCAGGAGCTGGCAATGGGCTCTGGCCACGCGCAGCAACCCAGTGAGGGGCAAGCAAGCACCGGCTTGGGAAGGGTGGGTGGTGGTGTCTGAGCCACGTGGTGCTCAGTTCAGCTTTTGGGTTGTGCTAGAGAAACTCTTCAGTGCGGTAATCCAACATTTTTATTAGAAATAGAATCTCAGGAGTTTGTTTTCATGCTGATTAGGTGTCTGCTTTTGAAGGGAAAGACTGTGTACACTAATTGGTTACATCTTCCGGACTGGCTTAATCTAATTCCACTGAATTGCATTATCTTTTCTTTGCTAATCATTATTATTTTAAGAATGGTCTGTTTTGTCCATTCAGTTCTGGGCATTAAGGTCAAGAATAGGAGAAAAGTTCCACTTACAAGGCATTAATGGGGAATTTCTGTGACTTCTTGTTTTTTTTTCATAATGTTAAAAATAGGATGAGCTTTTACCAGCACTTATTTATAACATATGTGGAACAGCTGCACCACACCAACACACTCTCATCCCTGCTTTAACAGCTGCTAATAAAAAAGGGGCCAGTCAAGTCAGTAATACAGTCTGATTCTTCCATTCAAATAAAGGCCTTTTTGTTTTTCTGCAGTGTGCTGGCTTGCCTAGAAGCTGGGTGTAATGACTTTGATTCTCAGCACTTATGTATAGGCATAAATAAAAGTTACATTTTCATTTGCAGAGAAGGATAAGGAGACGAGGGGAGAGCAGAGGAGGGTTTGGGGAGGATGGGCTCCCCTGTAATCTCTTGCACTACAATTCAGAAATTTTATCACTATCTGTGTAATTTTTCTTCTTTCTTTTTTTATATTTGTCTGACCTTCTTTTAAGATATTTTCCCCCCAACCCTGTGCTTTACTGTTTAGTATTGCTTTACTTTTTTCTGCTCTTCATCTCATCAAGTGGTTACCACATTGTCAGTGATAACTGACCACTACAGAAGCGCTGTAAGACAGCAGTTACCCTAGCAGGCTTTCTCAAGTTTAAATTAATGTGATTATTGATCTTGGCCACTTTTTTTTTTTTTCACATATATCTGTATAGTTTAAGATGTTTAGGTTCGACAGCTGAGAGTTTGTCATACTTTCTGCCATGGAGTGTATTTTAAAAATACCCATGCAGGTTGCATTGTTTGAATCAGCACAATGTAACAATGCTTTATATGTCGGCATCATTCTTTCAGCATTTTTCCCTTTTTCTTTTTGACTGTATTGTAGCTCTCAGCTTCTGTCACTCTCCTGGTCCTCAGTTTTGTTTGAAGGCCAGGAGGACTGATCCAGAGACACACTCATTGCTCGTGATACTTCTGCAATGGAACTGACTTTTTCAAAGCGTGCTACGAGCATATGTGTTCTTAGGTGTTACTAGGAAGTAATGCGTGGGAGAGTCATATTGCTTATTATCATGGTTTTCATTTTGTGTTGCTGTCATTTCCTGTGGAAAGAGTGACTTCTGATTTTTACTGTAGTCCAACACAGTGCAGTGTACAGTCTAAACTGGATTTTTCCATCCAAGCACACAGTATCTCACCATTGTGCTAGCTGCAGTGTAATAGTAGCATCCCAACGATTCACATCTTTACCTATTTCAGAAGGTTTTAATGATTCTGAATACTGGAACTGATATTTCCCAGTAGAAGTGCTATTACAATGCAGCAATCTTTCCCACTGGAATATATTCCAAGATAGTAATCTGATTCCACAAAAATAATTTGATCTTCATTCACAGCAGAGCCCAAACCATGTCCTTACATGCTTATGACATTTCTGTTTCATAACCCAGTGACCTGACACACATAGATCTTAAAACTGATGGTGTCGCTTTGCTGGATGGCTTTAAAAGAGTACTGCTGGCAGGCTGTCAAAGCATGTGCTGGCCATAAAAGGGCTCCTTTGGACTATAGCTGAGCTAATTTTCATCTAAGACCAAGCGTGGACATAGAATGAGTTTTCCAGTGCAGGCTAGAGATCAAGTCATAGCAGGATTATGGGACCAGGGTGAGCTGGTTTGATGTTCAACATAAGATACCTATGTTAAAGGACCCAGAAGGAAATACCTGCTTGTTGGCACTGAATCATCTCCAGTTCTTAGAAAGCTGGGGTGAAATATGGGTTTAACAGGCATAGAGGAAGTTACACATATGGTTTTCCCACTAGAGCTGGTAGCTCTGCATAGGATTTCTGCTTCTCCTTGAAGACTGGATCCAGTTAAGAGATTCCTATGTCTGTGTCTATGCTGAGATGGTTTGGTGAGCCTGCTATTTCAGAGCATGAGTGAAGTTTGGTGCTTTTAGAAACAGTGGTTCTTAGATGTCTCCTTCGCCTGTGTGTTCACTGTGAAGGAGGTAATGAATTGTCTGCTGTTACCTGATTTAAAAAGCTGTTAGGTACCAGATCCTTAATACAAACCAATGCCCAACTTAGTGTGCAGGAAAATTTTTTAATAGTACAAACATGGCAAAAGGAGAAAAGATGCTGTGCATCTTAGTGGCATCTATGTCATTCTCCTCTAGATGCAGTGACCATTGCTATATTTTAGGCTGGAAGAAACTCGGTTAAAATAATTACTACTTAAATATGATGTTTGCCTGCATTTTTACTGATAAGTGTCCTTGGTGGTAGCATTAAAGGTTTATGTCAGACCTCTCCCAATGAAGGGATGTGTGGGAAAGGTCACAGCTAGTAATACCAATAAGCAGTAAATCTTACTGCAGTGTAAAAAAAATTTTCATCAATTTCTGGTGATGGTATTAAGGAATAGGAGGAAAAAAAAAGGAGATAGGTCTTTGAGGTGAAACTTGTTCTGTTGGTGCTTTTAAAGTTTTGGGACATAATATAGAGGTACTTCTGTACACAGCACAGGAGACACAACATTCCCTGGAGAAATGAGGTTGTGCTGCATGGAGTGAAAATGGTTTTTCATCTGCTTTTGACATCACCCTAAAATCCTTCTTGCACTTCATTCAGCCAAACCCAGGAGGTGTGGGCCTGATCCTGCCAGCAGTTAGTGTGCACAGATCACGCTTTTCCAGTGGCAGGAGTATGGAGCAGTGTGATCCTTACAGGGAACTTCAGCAGGGATCCAGTCTTAAGGATTGCATTACTTGCTGGCAGGATTTGATCTTCTGATGGGAAAAGTTTGCTTTGGTTTTGCAGCTAGGAAAAATGAGCCAGGGACAGGTTCCCAGCAGGGCGGTGCCGGCTGCACGTGGTGGCAGCACCACAGCAAGTCCCGGTGCAGTTCATAGGCTTCACACCCAGGATGTGGGGAGAAGCAGAGAAAGAACTTTTCTTACTTGTTCTCCATTTCAGGGTTGGACTGAGGGTTATGGTCAGAAGATAAAATTGAGCAGGTACGTTTGAAAGGTGGTAGAAGAACTGTGCTGAAATGCATTCATCTCGGGCTTTGCGCACTGAGCTGCGGCTGGGAATTACCTGAGCTTCCCCAAATGACAGGGAGGTGCGAGGCAAACTGAAACCTGCTTACTGCAAAGGCAGTTAGAGATTTCAGCTGCTTCACTACTTAGATATTTTTTTTTTTTCTTCTGCATTGGGAAGTACTGATTCACTGAAAGAAGTATTTGCAAGACTTATTACAAAGCTGTCATTCCCCAAATTGATTCCTTTTGCACACATTCTTTTAAAATATTAACAGACATAAGAAGTTCACAGAAGAGCATGAAGATGAAATAAAAAGACAAACATCTTTAAGTAGAAATCAGGGAGCTGTGACATTAGTATAGGACAGCACTGTCCCCAAATGGATTTCTTCAATGTTTTTCTGATGCATTTTCAGCTATGAGGCTGATTGATTATTTATATAGATATGATGTTTGGAGTACTAGTAGAAACTCTGTGCCTTTTCAGTAAAACTCTACGAAGGATGACCACATGTAGTTTGAGACCTGTCAGCGCTCTCAGTTTCACTGCTGATTGAAAGCATAACTATTTTTCTTTAAAAGGACTGCAAGACTTGACATGTTCAGACCTGACATTAGGAAGCATTTCTCTACCAAGGGGGTGATCAAACACTGGAACAGGCTTCCTAGAGGGGTAGTCGGTGCCCCAAGCCTGTCAGTGTTTAAGAGGCATTTGGACAATGCTCTTAATGACATGCTTTAACTTTTGGACAGCCCTGAAGTGGTCAGGCAGTTGGACTAGATGATCATTGTAGGTCCCTTCCACCTGAAATATTCCCTATTCTATTCTATTCTATTCTATTCTATTCTATTCTACTCTACTCTACTCTACTCTACTCTACTCTACTCTACTCTACTCTACTCTATTCTATAAGAATGACAGACATTTATCTCCTTCACCTCTTCAGTCTCATGATGGTATAACTTAAGGGTGATGGAGGGGCCAGTGAGGGAAGTGTTAGGCAGTGCAGAAGAGTCTGGACACCTTGTTGCTGAAAGCTGGCCCGTGCCTCCACCCTGCCTGTTTCCTGCTTGGTGAGCAGGACCATACTCTGATGTTGCTAGGCACGAGCTAGCCACCAGTAATCAAAGCAAATGCTGGATTCCACATGAAGAACAGCGTGATCTAGGTGTGCAGCTTTGCAGCCTGGTCTTTTTACCTGCTGACAAGGGAGCAGATCACCCAAGTCATGTACCTGTCGTGGGGCTTGCAGAGGGCAGGGAACTGCAGTGGAGGGTGACCATGGTACCAGGATTGAATTATGGCTGCTCTTGTGGAATGTAGGTCCCATTTGTCTTGCTTTTTGCCTCTTGACTCTTAAGAGGTAGTTTGGCAACACTAGGCTCAGCCAGTGATGCTGTCATGATGGGGTGAAGTACTGGGCAAAGGCTGAGCCCTAAACCTGGGACTAAGGAGGTGATGAACCTTTTTCATCACTGTGCTGGCACCACTGTAGCACGCTGGAGTTGTGTCAGCCCT